TCAGCACCCTTTTCTGTTATTTCCCGGACAACCTTCAGAAGTTTGTGAGACGGATCCTCGGAATACCATAGCTTACTTCCTCTCAGGGTAAAGTGCTCTCCAACATCAGTAGGTTTGATCGATAACAAGGCATCATCAACGGCACTCATGCGATCAATATAATCATCCTCATCAAAGATGTGACGTGGAATCGGCCCCACTTTTTCCATGTGTTTTTCAACCATCCTCCAGTATTCCGCTTGCTTATCTGGTTCCAGACCTCGCTTCATCCACGCACACATCGCCTTCACATCCACCTCGTCGGGGCAATTCATGATGATTCGACTGGCTTTTAGTTGCGTCTCCCATTCATCATAGTTGCTTACCTCTGGGGATGACACCACAATCATGCCCCATCCGGTGGAGGGCGCAAAACCTGTGTCGGGCGGCGTTCCTTCCTTTGCCACATCGTAAATAATATACCCTTTCATCCCACGCTGCCTCAAACCACCCAAAACATTCTTCGATATTTTGTTACCCACGTATTGTGTCACGGTTTTGGTGGTCTTGTCAAAGACGTACGCATCCTCTCCAAAACAGTGGACAACCACTTGGAGTTTCGCCACATCGCAGTGCAGCAGCTGGTAGAGGAGGTAAGAACCGGCATTCATTGACTTCCCAATCCCGGGCGTCCCAATCAACAGACGCCGCCTGGGTGAAGGATTGAAAGTCAAATGAAAATTGCTGAACCACTTGGTTAGATCGCCCTTGACGATCTGCCACACTCGCTCCACCTCACAGTTAACACACAAGTCATTACCACATCCATGCGGCGCATTCAGCGTGTACGGCCATCCCTTGTCCGAGGTGAGAACCATCAGCCTGGGAGGTGCTTCACCGGATTGCTGCACACCGTCATCCTTTTCGAGAGTTCGGCCAACTGCCTTGTAATTCCATGACTGCGGTGGTTCCCCCTCCTTCACCTTCATTCCCATTTCTGTGTCGTCGGATACTTCCATGACATGGCTCCACCTCGCATCGTACACAGACTCGTACAATCCCTCCAGCATGAACATCCTTCAGCCACCTTCGTTGAATTCCGCGCCTGAGAGAAGACTATTTATTATTCTCTTCTGCGTAAAAATCGATTATATACTGTTTTCTTGGTTGGATTGAGTTAAAGCCGAACACTAACCATTAGTCAAAAAAAGGAATAAGAGTAATAGACAAAGATCACAGGCATGACTGACAGCCTCAGCAAGAGTCATCCACACAGTATTCGATAAAAACCACATGCACAGGGCCACCGCAACGACGGCGAGTGAATGTCATCCACCCAGCACACTGTTGGTGAGAGCAAACAACAACAATGTGGTGCGCACGGAGGGTTCGTCCACGCATCCCGCTCGCCACGGTCCGGCATCCGTGTGGCACCGCCTTCACCGCACACACTCTACAAAAGGACGTGCGGGCATATCGCCACTGGCACACACACAAAAGTTGGAGGAGAATTCGGTGCAGCAACGGCCACACGCAGACACCCCAAATCATACACGCCACAACAGCGATGCATCATGGTAATCTCTCACACAACAGAAAAAAAAGCAAATTACATGCTTTATGAAAAATTCACGCAATTCGCACAGCACAAAAGAACCATGGCACTCCCTTTCTTACTGCATTCGCCATTCATATTCCCAATGCGCGCCCTTCAAATAATGCCCCTCGATGGTGAAAACGAATACCTCGTTGTGGTGCCATTGTGCAGCCATCCGCCTGGGTGGGAAAAAGAAGGAAACTCAGGCGTCCTTCCACATGGAGGGAAGAGGGACTCCACCGCGGTGTCCCATTTGACGCAAACGCTCCGCGGCCACTGCCCGGTGTCGTGTGCGGACTCCACAAGGAGCTTTTGGGCACGCCACTGTGCCACACGGATTGCCCCCCTCTGAACGTAACATCAGGCGTGTTCCCTTCCGGTCGCACTCGTGGCGGTGGCGGCATCCGCTGCCTCGCTGCGTGCTGGTGGCGTCGAATACGATGCTGCAGTGAGAGAGAGAGAGGGTGCCAGGCATGAGCGGTGCAGGGATGGGCAGTGCCCTCCGCGGCGAGACGCCCAGCGCGACTCCTGACCGCGGCGCTCACGCACTTCCTTCCACTCCTCTCCCTCCATTCGGCAATCGCACAGCCGCCAGCACATTGTCCCCGAAAAAACACACACGTAAAAGCGTGGCAGCATATCTCCCAAGAGAACAGAGTGACGATCACACGCTGCGGCCATCGTGCCGACAGGTCCGGCGCAAACGCACCCACACCACGCAGACACAAAAAGAGATCTTCCACTCCGTGCCACGTCCTCGTGCGTGATGGTGCGGCATTTCAGAGCAATACCGCCACACGCCGTTCAGCATTTCCACAGAAGATGAGAGCCACGGCGCACTCTCGGCGCATCTTTCTTTTTCATTTCCTCAAAATGCAGCAGTTGCCAGCACCGAGTGCACGAGAAGCATCAAGCTGCACTGCAACATGTACGCCGTGCGGTTGTGTGTCTGCAGACACGCAAATAAAAGGAGCCACGCACGTGAAGAAACAAAAAAAACCGCAGCGGAGTTACAGGACAGACAAAGTGAAAAGAATGAAGGCAGCCAAAGCTCAAGATGGCACGGCAGCCCAACATGCGGCAACCCACAATACGCTTGCAGAAACAAAAAATAAAAACTTTAAAAAAACAAGAAAAAATAAAACGCAAAAAACAGTCCCCTTGAAGAAGTTTTTCACGCTCACAAAAAAAAGAATAACAATAATAACACGGTGAAGCGGAAAAAAGCACGTGTATATTCTTCCTGCAGAAGTAAAAATATATTTGCGTCAGCCGTTCAGCCTCCTGGTGTCCACACAACACCCACATTTCATTGGGACGTTCAGTGCGTTGCTGCACATCTTAAATCCCTTCTTCACCGCACCATCGTCGTGGAGCTCAATGCCGACTGCACGTGTCATCGGCCGACGGAAACGCTAAAGACATCCCGCCAACCCCGAAATATTCCACTATAAAAAAAACAAGCATATAAAATAAAGCAAAAACAAATACCTCGCGGTGCGGTCCCGGGAGGGAGAGCACGCTTTTAAATAAATAATTGCACAGGCGGAAAAGGGATATTCAAACCAAAAATAAAATATATAAAATAAAAGGTATATCCAAGCAAAACGTCAATTATTCCAGAGGGTGCGTCGAGAGGTACATATTGCACCCACTAGAGGCAGGGGTCCCGCCGCGTTACGCCCCGTAGAGGGCCGCACAGTCCCAGCAGCAGCAGCAGCACCCGCAACACGCCCCCACGCACGGAGCCTTCGCTCTTCTTGACCGTTTTTAGTTCACCGACACTCAGTGGGCGGTTGTACAGAAAGACTTTCGTCACTGTCACATCGCTGCTGTTGATGTCTCCCTCGTCGCCCCCAATGTAGAAGAATGAGACTTCAGCCCCCGCGTCTCAGGTGTTCGTATCGTCTCTGGGCTCCCCACAATCACGCCATTCACGTACACACATCCCCTGTGGCCGTCCGGCAGCATGAGCACCACTTGGTATTTTTTCCCCGGCTCCCAAGTGCTGCCCGATGCTGTTTTTATTCCGTAAAACACTGTCTCCCACCCACTGTCCGCGTTGTGCGACAGCCCAATTAAGCTCGTGCTGACGGGTGCATCCAGACCCGCGCCCGGTAGAGGAGTGCCCAACTTCGGAAAATTTTGAATCATCACCCTCGCCACAATAGTGAAATCACAGCTTACAAAGGTATGCGGCCCATTATGCTCCCGGCTGCTCACGAGCCATACTGCCCCGGACCCAAGGCCCCGTGAATTTGAGCCCATCTTTGGCCTTCATTGCATTCTTCGTCATAATTGCACTCACGCAAAGGTAATCTTCGATCCACGTGTCACCACCGGAAGATGCGTTGAAAAGGAAAACAACCAGACCCGCCGTGGGTGTGAACGACTCAGAGGAGGAGGAATCCAGCTGTGCCCAACTCTTCAAGACGTAATTGATCATCTGTAGCCCCTCCGTTAGTGGGACAAGTGAAATGTTGTTGCTTGCTTTAATAATACCATCCTGTAAAATGTGCAACGCCCCATCCGAGTATAGCAGGGCGTGAAAAAGTTCCAAGTTATTATCCATGGCAACGGGTCCAACAGAAAACGTGCGGTTATTGTCCGTGACCCAAAGATGGAACACATTTTCCTTTTTCTCCCCCGAGAAGTACCTTTTCCAAGTGTACAGCATCACCTTCACTCCCTCAATGGTCGCGGTGATAGGGGTTTCCACAGGCAAATTGCCTTCCCGAAAGACTCCCAATTTTGACTTGGTCCACACGCCTGAGAGTGTCCCAATAGCCTCCGTCCGCATTGCCCCCATGTCATGCGACTCAAACAAACTCTGGCCATCTTTACACTGAACGATCATAAAAATTTGTCTCCTATTTCATTCGGTAATGCGGGGGTTAAAGCATGCCGCAGGATAAATGCCCTCTGGGAACACCCAGGTATTGACGTTGAATAAGTGATTCTGGAGAAGGATCGATTTTCCCCATTCCTCGCCCTCAGGGTAAACACAAGTGTGCCACCCTCCATCACAATGCCTGAACTAATACCACCCCAAAATCCGACAGGTTGCTTTTAATCCTTTGGGGAATCTGCCGTGAAGGTGACTTGGGTTCAGCCCAGTCGATCAATGTACTTTGCACGCCGTCATTGGAGTGCGTGGCATCATCTTCAACAAGTTGAATATCCCAGCCAACCGTATTCTAGCGACCATCATTTTTTCACATATTGTAGCTTCCCACAATTAGAAGCACTTTATTGTTCCTTGCAATCGCTGTGGGGTTGCACGCAACACCAAAAAGATCCTCTTAACTCACTGTACTAAACAGTGTGCGTACCCCCCATTTACCCCAATTGTTCTCGGCGGCAATTAACGGCCACGTCTCCGCGGCGTTGATGTACCCCGCCACAATATCAGAGGGACGCACATTCAATCTATAGTGGGAACCTTTGTACTCAGTGTGACCTTCAGCAAATGCAATCGTCACTCCACCAGCACGGACAAGAGAAGGCGCAGCGAATGAATCCCTCCTTCCACTTTTGCCAGAATCACTTTTTGGTTCCACCTGCGTCTTCATCCGCACATAAATGTCAACAGGTTGTGGCATTCGCACGTCCCCTGACTGCTGCCCTTCCGCGTTAGCAGCTCCACATCCACAGCACAACATCACGATGAGGAGGAACAGTACCGCGGAAGTAAACACATGCCGGGACATGTTGGGCCTCTGCCGCTCACTCTCGCTTCCTTCCCTCCTCCTTCCGCCAAATCCGGTCACGCGGCGACAACTGTTTGTGTGTGCGGGGTGCCTTCACTGCAGCAACACGTGAGAGCATATGAATATGTGTGTGTGGGCGGTGTGTGTGCTGTTGTTGGTCCTTTCAGAGCCTTCCAACTTCACAGTAGCGTTTAGCGTTTGTTTGCTTTCTTTCCTCGTGTGTGTGTTAAAGAAGTGGAGAGAAGAGGAAATATGTCGAGAAATGAAGTGAAACTAAATAAAGCAGGGCATTGCAAAACAATAAGCAGCGTAACATTCTACACTGAGTCATACAATCATCGTTGCCACTGCAGCAGTTATTCCAGTCATTCACCATCACCCAAATGTAGCGTGTCTGCAGATACAGGAACAAGTATAATGATGTACACACATGGCGAAAGACTTTTTCCCACCAAAAAAAAAAAAAAAACATCATTTACCCGGCAATCAAAAGACAATGAGAAGAAGCAAAGCCTCAAGTGTTAAAAACAAATAAAAACAGCATCCTTCAACACCCCCTTATGAAAAAGGCTAATAAAAAGTATATAAACATGTACACACAAGCTGCTGGAGTTCTTATGGTTAACCTTCCCTAGTCTTCGCAATAATTATTTCTTCTTTTAAAATGCTTTTCCTCATTTGTTTCCCTAATTTGC